AAAAAAAAGTAAAAATCTAATAAATAAAATAATTTTATTAATTTTAATACTAGCCATATCATCGTCTAGGTCTACTTTGTAATCAGCATCAGAAATTTCAATTGTATCTGGTATTTCCTCTTCGTTGAAGATATTATTTGTATAAAGTTCATTTACCAGAGTACAATTACTATAGAGCTTGTCACCATAAACCAATTCATAGGGGGTTTTTTTATGCGATCTACACCATAAATTGTTCATAGCAACCACAACGAACCTCAAACCAAATAACCAGTCATTTTGGCCAGTAGTTTCTCTCCATTTACCTAGTTTTTGCTCCAAAATGCCATTAGCACGTTCTATTAAACCTTGTAACTGAGGGTGCCTTAAGCGCTCATTTATAATCTTTACTGATAGCCATAGCATGATTAGTTCTTTGATGACTTGTGCTATAAATTCCTTGCCATTATTTGATTATAATATAGTCAGAGGTGATCCAATTATGTGAAAAAGGTTAAAGAGAAAAGATGCAACTTCAATTAGTCTTTTTGATATGAGTGCCTTAGCCCACGAAAACCTACTGAAGTGGTCTCTTATATGACATACATATTTAAACTCTCCATCAGGAATATAAGATAAATCAATAAGGTCCATCTATATAATAAACCATAATTAAAGTATAATTTAATTAATTTCAAAAAAAAAAAAAACTAAAAATTTATATTATCTGCATCCTAAACATAAAATTTTGGCAATTATTGGCTTCGCTACCAAAGGGTGGAACAGAACCCCGAATAATATATATAGAGATTATATTGGCTTTAATATAAAATTTTTATAAATTTTATCCACTTTATATTAAGACTTATTAGCCAAATTTTAAATATAAGTATTGAAAATTAGATTTTTTTAACCAAAATTTAAATATATCCTATATAAAAAATTTTAATATATTAAAAATTTATAAATATATAAAATATAATAATAATTTTTAGCTCTAAATATTTAAATTATTGATTATTTTTAAAATTTTTAATTTTTTAATAATTTATATAATATTTTTAAACTTTTAATTTCAAAATAAAATATAATTAAATAATACATGTATGTTAATAATTTCTAAAAAAACTATTTTTGCAATAATAAAATAGTTTTATTAATATACTTGTTTGACAAAATCTTGATAAATAACAAAACTCTTGCAGATTGATAAAACTTTTGCCAAATTAATTTAACTAATAAAATATTATAATATAGTTAATTCTTCTTTAATAAGCTTTTTTGTAACAATCTTTGAATATTAAATATTAATTTTTTTTAAAAATTATATTTAAAGCTTTGCAGTTAATATGAAAACACTATAATTTTTAATTGATAATAAACTTTTTCTTAAAGTTCTTAACAATTTTACTAATACAATAAGATTTTTTTTAACAAGCTCTTTTATAATAAACTTTAAATATACTAAATCTTTAATTGTTTTTAATTTAATATTATTTCATTATAACAAATTTTATTTTATTAGTCTTCTCTATTGTGTTAATATAAAAAATTGAAAATTGAGTAGATAAAATAATATTATATATACTAATTTATTTACTTTATAAAAGAAAATAATGAACTATATACTTTATTAACTATTATTCGTTATAGGTTTTATTATTTGTCAATTCAGTATTTAGAAATTGCTTGATAAAATATTTCTATTATTAATATATGTATAATCAAAAAGCATAATATTAAAAATTAATCTTTGCAATTGTTATATAACTTATTTTATCTAATAAAATTGCAATATTTTTATTAATAAAATTGCAAAAAAGGACAAATTATAAAATTTCTTGCAATCTTTGTTTCATATCAGGAGTATTAAAATAGTTAAACAGCTCAAATATTTGTATGTGACTTAATAAAAGAATAATAACTTGAATTTTTATAGTAAAGTGCAAGAATTTGAAAGAAAAAAATAGTATTATTAACTTGTCCAATTCCAAATCCTCCTTGCATAACTGGGTATACCAGATTTATATTTGCAGTTGAAATTTTTACCAATCCTGTAATAAAAAGAATAAAAAGACATGAAGTTAGAATTTAAATAGATAAAGAACTAGGAATTTAATCTTATTTTAAAATTAAATATATAACTGATTAGTCAAATAATCATATATACACTTAAGCAGTTAAAAGTAGAAACGAGAAAATTATTATACAAAAATGATATAAATACTATTCAATGCCTCTATTTTATTCTAATAGTTCTAATACCATCTCTGTAGCAGAATCTAAGATCATATATTACCTCTAGTAGATTTTAAATACCACTTAAAAGCTTTCTTTTCATCATTATAAATTGCTACTTTCAACAAATTTTCATCATTCAGTACCTTCTTTCTAGTAATATATATATATTTTTTGGTAGCAAAATCTAAAATTACATTCAATAAATTTTAAAATACCACATCATTGCTTTCTTTTTACATTGTCCACAAGGATTATCATCTTCAGTATATTTTAAATACTACTCTAATGCTTCATCTCGTCTTTAGTAGTGCATATTCTTTTGAATCTGAGATTATATTGTTTACAGCAACTACTATCTTCAGCAGATTTTAGAGTACAATTGTAATGTCTTCTTTTTATTCTTAGTAATACCTGTACTTTTTTCATAATTGAGTTCAGGATTACATTGCCTATGAGAATCACTATATTCAGCAGGTTTGAAATTTTTGAGATTTCAATATCTTCTTTCATTTTTTATCATCTATGCTTTCCATAACCGAATTCAAATTATATTGTCCATAAGAGCTATCATATTCAGCAGATTTTTAATAACATTTAAATGTTGTCTTTTTATCTTTAGCAATATCCATATAATAATAATAGCAAAACACATGATCACAATGTCTACTGGAATTGCTATCTTTAACAATTTTAAAAAATAATTCTAAATAACACTAGTCAAAATTAAAAAATTTGATATGTTGAATGGCACAATTCGAATACCATTTAACAATGCCTTTTGACTTGTCATTCAATATTATTATATAATTTCACGGACATGCATGTCCACTAAATTATGTAATAGTTCGAAAGACAAGTCAAAAGGCATGTTGAATAGTATTCGAATTGTGCCATTTAATATGTCGAATTTTTTAATTTTGACTAGTGTAATTCCATGGTTTCTGCTTTTAACTGCCTGTTTACTTGATCTAATTAACAAAATTGCTTTGATGATATATTTCATGTGCTTTTTTTTGATTAACATATTCTAATTTAGAGTTAATAAATTAAATTTAACTTACTAACTAAACTTCTTGTTTCATTATTCAATCATTCAAGTCTTGCTCTCAATTTCTATTGATTTTGACGTGGAATACCAGGGTGAGCAGTAGTGATACAAATTAAAAATCGAAAAATCGATTAGTTGTCAACTAATCAATAAATCGATTGGAAAATTTTGAAAAAAACAACTAATCGATTGAAAAATTTTGTCAACTTATAATAAAATAATCGATTAAAATTGATAAATCGATTAGTTAACAACTAATCGATTGAAAATTTTTGAATTAGTCAACTAATCGATTGGAAAATTTTTGACGATTTGAAACACTAGTGAGCAGACTTATTTGAGAAGAGATATGATATAAGGCTGCTATACCTATTATTTGAAGCAGATGTAAAAAATCCTGCAACTTTTCTCTCTATTTTCTGACTAGTATAGGCTTCATGATGGCGGCGTTAGTTGACCAATACAGAAATTTTAAACATTCCATTTGCAACTCCAGTGTCAATATCAATATCTATTTCTACATTATGATTCTGAGATAGTCGAGTAAAATCAAGTATCAAAGCCAATTGCGAACATCCCTTAGAGAAATCGTCCCCTCCTCAATCTAAAAAATTAAATGTAATCAAGAAAAAAAATAAAAGAAATTAAGGTTTCAGAACTAAAACAAGAATTCTGATTTAATTTTATTTTTTGATTTTATTAATTCACTTGCTTTAGCCCTACTTATTACACAAAGTATACCACTTTCTGATCCCTTTATTTAATATATAAAACTAATAATTTCAATATAAATGGCATAATGTCTAAAACATAATTCTTACTTCAGTTAATTCATTAAGTTTATCTTATGTATTAACTTCTGCAACAGCAGCAAATATAAAAATACTTTCAGTTTCTTGTAAACTATCAACTTTTTATAGATTAGCAGGTTGTTCAATTTCATTTTCTACTTCAAGATCCTCCTCCTCATCTTCTGAAATAGTCATAAGGTCATGAATTTGAGTATTTATTACTATTTCAAGAATGTCTTTAGCTAATGTAGTGGCTTGTTCATATGCATAGTGGATTGCTAATCTAATCTCATTATCTGAAGACCAATTCTATAAGACTTCTAAGTTTTCTACAATACTCGAATTTGAATAATGCGAAATATAATCTAAAAAGTATAAAATCAGTTTTTTTAACTTTATAAATATGATTTTATAATAAATTACACCTATATATACTAACTAACACCAGTTATTTTTTCTCTTTCTGATCTGAGAGAACCTGAAAAATATGTCTTGTATATATATGCAATCTTGGGTGTTAATACAACTAAGTCATTAGATGAAAAATCAGGAAGAAACTGACAAGCCAATCCGAAAAAATGTTCACACCCTTCTGAACCATACAACCAGTGTGTAAAAGGATATTGCGGATAGTAATCTTGGTAAGCAATTGTTAAAAGGATCTAAGATAAAAAATTATATGATGACTAGTTTATAACTAATAATTTATTAATAGATTTACATACTATAGATTTGGAAATACTTGTTAAAATGTTAAACATTACTGAAGCTATAAAATTTTTTTTAATGCTTTTAAATTTAGAATAATTCTGTATGCAAACTTGAATATGATTTTTCTAATGATTTAAAAAAAAGAATTCCAATATAACCATTTTGCATCTTTCAAGTGGTGAAATTTTACGATTCTGAAATGTATCAATTAGTTTACCTATAATAAAAATAATTTATTAGACAATACATAAAAATTAATTAATCCTTTTAAATTGTTAAAGTAACTAACCAAGAACACATAAAAAAACATATAGGCCATATTTTTCATGATTTAAATAATTGTTTTCATCGATAACTTGATTGAGAAATGATGAACAAAAAAGTTGATAAGCAGCTCCGTCATCCTGACAATCAACATTTTCAACATCTTTTTTATACAAAACACTTTCTGGATTTTTTTATAATTCTAGAATTTGATCATATCGAGCTGAATATTTTCTAAGAGATAATAGCCATGCTCCAGAAAAAAGTGCATTGCGACAATTCTTCTTCCCATGTAAAGGATCAGTGATTCGAATAATAGATCTAATATTAGGATAAATAGACAACTAAAATCAATATCTAAAAATAATTTTAAAAAATAATTAATAATATTAAAGCTATTTAATATTTAATATACTATAAAGTCTATCTTTGAAAATTAGTCTTTCTGACGTTTCTATCTTCATAAGTTGATTTTGTGCATTGAACTCTGCTAAGGCACCATCAGCACCAAATCCAAGAATTTTAAGTTGAAGATGTGCTGCGATATCAAGTAATTTTTTATGTAATTCAAAAATACTTGTCGCCATTTCTTTTCCCTGATTTGCAATCATTACAATAATACAAGGTAGAAATTTTGAAACAGGAATCTATAATAAATAAATTGTTAGACATATTTTATATATAAACTATTAATGAATATAATATTTACCTGTAATAAATAAACACAGACTTGAGAGGCAATTGCATTATAAGATTTAATCATGTCTACAATTCGATATATATCTTCATATGTGAAAACTCTGGTTAATTTCGTTGAAAGTGTTGAACCAACAACACAATCAAGAAGTAAAGAAAATCTAAGTCTTTCTTTAATTTTAGTATTATCTGATATTGCAATAATCAGACCAGTATATTTAATTGTATCCACAAGCCTTTTAACTCATGCTACATTTTCAAAACATAACTCAGGGTCATGAAGCATATAAGGTAAATGTGTACGATACAACCTTAAAAAGAGTTAATATAATTTTTGTTAAAATAAAATTATATTTTATATACAAATCTAATATTTTGAATAGTGCATCCAGCTAAATTCTGCTGAAAAATATTATATATTTGTAGACTAAGACTTGCAAGTATAACTAGAAAATCAGAAAATTGATCTGAATACTTCAAATTTTGAAGCCCTTTTTTATGTTGTTCGCGATCTGCAACTTGAACTATTACATAACATAAGCCTTCGATTGCTTTTCTATTTTTAAAACTGCCATTTATATCTATCTCTGCAAACTTTGTCCAAAATGAGTTCTCATTATTTATACTAGCATTGTTTGCTAAATATAAAATATCATCGACATCTTGATTATAAATATATTTAGCAATTGGATTACTTCGAAGTTGAATTTTTGGCATAAACTTTTTTTTATAATTTGCCTTGTCTTGTTTTGACATGGCATTCTATTTATAATTATATTATAAATTAATTTTTATTTATATATAATTATATATATTATTATAATTATACATACTTTAAAAACTTGGTCATTTTGAACTTCTTTACAATAATCATACAATTTAGAAGAATTAGTAGTATATTGTTTACATAAAACAGATCATACTACTAGATCTTCAATTTTTCATTTAGATTGTTAAATTATTTTATCATCTAGTAATTGCAATTCTCTTTCAGTAAGTATTTTATATTTCACTGCCTTATTAGAAGGAAATTTTTCTGAAAAAAGTTCTTGAGCAACAATATCTCTTCTTGGTACACCACCATGAGTAATGTGAGTGAATACTCTATTAATATAAGCTTTATAGATTGAATTATCTAATCCAGTACAAGAATATTGTTTTAAAGATTGATTATCTTTTTTTAAATTTGGTGAAAAAAAGTTTAAAATTGAGACAATACCATTTTGAAATTTGCAACCACTACCATTAATATGACTTTCAAAGTAAGACTCATCATATGCTTGATTATTTTTTCACACTTGCAAGTTACATTTAAACCACAATTGGATATATGCACTATTATTTGGTTTTTTAGTAGCCGATCTCTTGTATATTTAACTATTTTAAAGTTGTTTAAAAAAACTTGTAAATGTTTTATCAATATTGCTTAAACAGTTTTAAAGTTGTTAAAAACCTGATTTACACATAAATATTTAAACAATTTTAAAGTTGCTAAAAACTTGATTTACGTGCAAATGTTTTTTATAGAAATTCTAATTTTTTAACTAATTTTAGAATATAACCTTACACAACTTTAATATTTTTATCTATTTTTGATAATATAGCAATTAAGATAATTATTCGGTTTTAAATATAACTTTTTAAGTAATAACTGGTTTTCAAATATAATATTTTCATAAAAAGATACTATTTTTAACCAAAATTTTAATATAACCTCTATATATATTATTCGGGGTCTTGGTAGAATGCTGGCTTCCTTATTGCATATGCTGTACAATTATTCACGAATTCTTCCACGATTAATTGTTTAATATACCCCTATCTTTTATGAATTGAAGTTCACGTTTGCCTTTGACCGTCATGCTATATTATTTCACTATGGGTTTAATATAGAACATTATAAAATTTTTCAACTATTAACACAGGATTATTCATGGCTTTTACAAGTACTCTGTAATCACTAGGTATAATTTCTTCAAGTATAAATTTGTTTTTAGCCCATGACCATAAGTTTTTATCATAGAGTGAAGTATCTTTTAGATTTAATAAGATAGTCTTTATCTTATTTAAAAGCTCATTGTTTATTAAGGCCTTTCATTGTTTCGATTTTAAAAGGTTAGTTAAATATTTTTCTACAATTTGGTCAAGAGTATTTCTACTAATGAATATATAATCCATTTTAAGAGCAAGATCAAAGTTGCAATGCCAAAGAACAAAGCCAACACTTAAGAAAGTAAAAACAAGACAGTAAAATTAAGTGCAAAGAAGTACCAAAGAACAAAGCCAATGTTACAAAAGGTAAGAACAAGATCAAAGTTATAAGCAAAATTAAGCATGCCAAAAAAAAAAGTCAATGCTTAAGGGAGGCAAGAGCAAGACCAAAGTTATAATGCAGCGCCAAAGAACAAAATCAATGTTAAGGAAGATCAAAGTTATAAAGTAAAATTAGATGCACCAAAAAAGCAAATGCAAGAACAGACCAAAGTTATAAAGCAGCGCCAAAGAACAAAGTCCAACATTAAGGAAGATCAAAGTTACAAGTAAAATTAGGCATGCCAAAAAAAAAAGCAAATGTTTAAAGGAGAAAAGAACAAGGCCAGAGTTATTATGCAGTACCAAAGAACAAAGTCATGTTAAAGAAGACCAAAGTTATAAATAAAATAAAATTAGGCATACCAAAAAAAAAGCAAATGCTTAAAGGAGAAAAGAAGTTATAAAGCAGTGCCAAAAATAAAACCAAGGCTTAAGGGAAATAAGAACGAGATCAGAGTTATTTTAAGGCTAAAAAAAATTATGTCACGACAAAGTGCTACAAACTGAAATGTGTTGAATAAAGTAGCACTAATAATTAAGTCAACGAGAAATTAGTGGGAACCACCAACATTGAATGCGATGTAAAGCCAATGTCAAATGCGAAAGCCAACATAGAATATGAAAGCCACTGTCGAATGTGAAAGCCGATGAGAGATATAAAGCTGACAAAAGATATAAAACCAATGTTCACAAAGACAATAAACCAAGCTTCAAGAAAAAGAAAACATAATTAAAGTGAAAGGTTTTATTTTATACTCTTAAGTATAATGACATATTACATTTTCGTTGAAGCTTTTAAACTTTTTTTTTTTTATATAGATTAGATATTGAAGATCTTACGTCAGATTAAAACTGACATACATCAAATGACCAATTGACAGGTGAAATGTATTACATGAAAATCAGCATCTGACGCAAGTCGGATTAGATCTGATGCAAGGATGTATCTGATGTATAACATATATATACAAAATTTTCTTTTTATTATTTTTGCTTAATATACCCAAAATAAGTTTAATTTTTTATAGAAAAGATTATCATATTATTTAACTAATTGGAATTTATTTTTTTATTATATTTTTTAATTCCAACTGAGAATTAGATTAGTACTAAATTTTCTAGTAAAATTTAACAGAATTGTGTTCAAGAATAGTATAATTTTTATAGAGTTAATAATTTAGCACATATTTGAAGTTATTTGTAGAATGAATAGTACTATTCAAAAAGATAGAAATGTAGACACATTCTATAATAAAGTATATTAGCATTTTACAATCTACTAAGAAGTTACTTACAAGTAATTAAATATAATTATTTTTTTAAATATAATCATGCATATTTAGATCTATTGGTTTATATTTATTATAATATGAGTTCTATTTAGCCAAGTTGATCAATTATAGCAATTATAAAATAGTCAAACTATAAAATATTAGAGAATTGATCTTAAAGCAGAGTAAAATCAACTTAATAAAAAGCTAATTTATTCTAATTTTTAGCAGATTATTAATATACAAAAATAGATATATTTTAGATTTGAGTTTTTGTTTAGCTGTTTTTTTGTTTGCAAATATTTAATTTAGCAAATAAATCTAGTTTTAGCTAGATTTTTTAAAAAGGTATTGAATATAACTTATTGTATAATAATATAAATAAATATATATCTATTAATAATAATTTTAATATTTTAGATTTATTAATAAAGATATTATCTATTTTTAAAATTTAATGATTAGTATAACAATTTATTTGAAAGTTTGTCAGAAAACCTTTTTTTAGTAATATTAAATATCACAAACTAAATACATATTAGACAAAAAGATTTTAGTTAATAATAATAAAAAAAAATTTAATAATTCAAATACTTCTCTTAAGGCTATACAAATTTAATTACTTGGCTTTCATAACATGAAACTTTTAAATAAACCTGGCCGGCTGGCTTTTTTTTTTTTAAATTCATATATAAAATTTTATAAAATTTATATAAAAAATTTTTTCAAAACCTA